GGTCTGAAGTGCAATTCATACGGATTTTCTAGATGGTTTCGATAAGCCAAACGCCATGTTATAATGGATTATCAGCGGATGTCCTAATCGAGTAAAATCAAAAGTATTAATCGGATTATTGTGCGAAAAAATCGAGTTATAATCAGATTATAATCAAAATTGAAAATTGGATTTTTGTGAAACAAAATCTAACTTTCAATCGTTGGAAATCAAAATTATTAATCAGGTTATTGTAGGAAGAAATCAAGTTATAATCAGATTATAATCAAAATTGAAAGTCGGATTTTTGTGAAACGAAATCAAAATTTCAATCGATGAAAATCAAAATTATTAATCGGATTATTGTAGGAAAAAATCGAGTTATAATCAGATTATGATCAAAATTGAAAGTCGGATTTTTGTGAAACAAAATCAAAATTTTAATCAATTAAAATCTAAATTATAATCAATATAAATCGATTAGAAGTTTCTGATAATCGATTGGCATTGATTCTAATTTTGATTATAATCGATTGAAATCTGGATTTCGTTTCACAAAAATCGGATTTTCAATTCGGATTACCTCTGCGGGATTTTTAAATTTTAATCGATTTTAATCCTTAAAATTTTTCACTGAGTAGTATAAGAATATCTCTTGAATCATTTCTATAGCACATATGCTGCTCATAAATCAATTCAGTAAGATCAATCGATTAAGTAACACAATTTCGTCGTATAGATGATTAGTTCGTATCTAAAACCATTTCACTTATTGATCTTGAAGCTTGTGTTCAATTATTGAATATTAAGGCAATCATGTGAGATATATTTAATATGATGTAGATCAAAAATAACTTTATTAAATCTTCATTTTAATTACATAGAAAGAAAACAAATACGAAAAAACAGAGAATAAAATTCTCATCAACATATGTTATATTTGTATCACAAAATAGCTGTTGATACAAGAATTAAATACGAGCATCAAAATTCTTGTGCAAGAGTTTTCTCGTTATTTATTTTATGTATTTTTTTAATACGTATTATTTAAAGTTCTTAATTAATATTTTGCTCTTTATGACGTTGCATTTCTTCATCAATTAATTTTTGTTGTATTTGTATAGGTAAACCACAATTAAGACTAAAAATAAAGTGAATCATTGATTTTGGTATTCCAATAAAATCTATAAAAACTTTAATGAATATTGTATCATCAATGATGTATCGATTTGTTTCTAATGGTTGATTAAAATCAACTAAAGAGCAAAATTTTGGAATGCCCGATGCAATATTCATTGATGAACATGGTCGTTGAAAACTAATACTTCTTGTATCAGGCCGAAATGATTCAGTAATATGTTTGGCTTGTTTTGTTTCACCGGACGCAAGCATAGTTCGTTGATCAAAGAGACAAAAAGATACTCGATAAGAAAATGGCCATTGTAATAGTGCATCATATTCACCTCGAAGAACAACTAGAAAAATAGATATATGTGTTCCTCGTGCACTACCATCACCATTGAAATACAGGCGAGCACATAGTTTATATCCTGTTGTTGAAGTATAGAATGCTGGTGAGTAAATACTTGTTTGACGTTCAGATTGTGCGTCATATGTTTTTTCGCGAACTTTATCAATTTTCCAAATCATTATACCATCTAGCATATGATGTTGTGGTACTTGATTTTCGTATTCAACTTGTTGTTTCATAACTATGATATCTGATCTCAAAACATTTTGATTGATAAACATGCCATCGATATGAGATTTTTGGAACACACTTTTTGTTTTTGTATTCTGTATTCCTCCTGAGAAGGTTAATAGTTGATCCTTCGATTGAAGTAGATCTGAATTCAGGTGAAGAAGATCATTGTCTACTGTCGCGGTAATTTTTACTGAAGTTGAGAGACTTTCATAGTATTCATAAAGATGTGCTGCTATCTTTTTAATATTCATATCGAGTTTGGAATTACCCTTCTCTTCTTCAATAATCTGCTGTGTTAATTTTACAAGACTTTTCTGATGTTGTTCTGTAGTATAGTGCTCTGTAGCTGAATTTGACTATATATATAATCAAGAAAAAGATACAGCATATTTTGAGTCTTTTATTCGAATACCGTCTGATCTTCTGTACAACCATAACAAGCCAACGGACATGATCTACAATTCCAAGTACCATAGGTCTTGTTGGTTTGGTCGCATTTATTCGAGTTTTCACTCATGAAAACTAAAATAACTCAATAGGAGAATATTAGACAGGACATTCAAAAAGTTCTTGAACTGGTTTTATTTCATAGCAACAAGATGTACTATTATATCAGTATCAATGTGTGCACACAGTTCATAAAATTCTCGATTCAAATATATATATACAAGAAGTCCCGCTGTATTAAAGATGTGTTCATATATGGTCATAATTTGTAGAACATATATCTTCACAGATTGAAAAACGAAAACATAAGTCAAGTTCTGATTTGTAAACTTAAATAGATTCGTCAATCTAAAGACGAACAGTTAAATGTTTATTATGTTTCTAGATACGAATAACATACCACTGAATCAATGGATGCGAACGAAACTTTCATAGGGAA